TGTGTTGATCATTACTCCAGATTTATGTGGATCTTTCCATTAAAACTAAAATCTGATGTTTATGCCACTTTTAAACGATTCCTTGCGATGGTTGAAAGACATTTTCAAACCAAACTGAAATCTGTCCAAACCGACTGGGGAGGCGAGTTTCGGAATCTCTCCCAATTCTTCTCTCCTCTCGGCATCACCCATCGCCTCTCATGTCCCCATACAAGCGAACAAAATGGCTTTGTTAAACGACGACATCGACATGTTGTTGAAACCGGTCTTACTTTACTTGCTCAATCCTATGTTCCACAACGGTTTTGGCATTTTGCTTTTGACACTGCAGTCTATCTTATTAATCGAATGCCATCCAGAACCAACTCAAACACCTCACCATTTGAACACATGTTCAAACATAAACCCGAATTTTCCTTTCTTCGGGTTTTTGGATGCCAATGCTACCCTCATCTCCGTCCATACAATAAACATAAAATTGACTTCCGCTCTACATCTTGTGTGTTCCTTGGTTACAGCACCGCTCATCATGGCTATCGGTGTTACGACCCACAGTCTGATCGTCTTTACGTAGCCCGTCATGTTCGATTTAATGAACAATCATTTCCTTTCCAAACATCTCCTCCAACCACTCCTACTCCAACCACTCCAAATCCTTACGTCTCCACCTATCCCAAATCTGACCTCCCACCCACCTCTTCATCCTCCACAGGACCTAATGAACATTCTGCTCCACCAGAACCGACACCCTCCACCACACCTACAGTGCAAACTGTCCCACAAGAAACAACACCTACCACCACCCCTCCTAATGACCACCCTACGGCCCAACCACCCCTTATCCACACCTATCACCGCCGTTCCATAGTCACCGAACCACCACCGCAGCCTACCCCTACCCCCCTCCTCTACCACCGAACAACCCACCCGTACTCGACCACCCAACCTACGCCCAAATCCCAAACAAACCAAACCTTACAATGCCTCCTCATACCATACCCATCATCCTTCACCTGACACCGAACCGACCACCTTTACTATTGCTAACGGGTACCCTCAGTGGCGTACCGCCATGGCTGACGAGTATTCGGCGCTGATGCAGAATGGTACTTGGACATTAGTACCACGCGTTCCAAATTCCAACGTAATTGATTGCAAGTGGGTATGCAAATTCAAAAGGGACCAAACAGGGGCAATAAAACGTTACAAGGCACGACTAGTAGCCAAAGGGTTTCGGCAGCAACCAGGCATTGATTATCAGGAGACGTTCAGTCCCGTGGTCAAATCGACCACCATACGTGTTGTTCTATCTCTGGCCGCAACACAGAAATGGTCTCTAAGGCAACTTGATGTGAAAAATGCCTTCCTACATGGTGATTTCAACGAGACAGTTTATTTGCAACAGCCACCAAGGTTCGTTGACCCGGACAAACCCGATCATGTTTGCCTACTTCACAAATCCTTATATGGATTAAAGCAGGCCCCTAGAGCGTGGTTTCATCGACTTTCTACAGTCCTTCATTCTCTTGGCTTTCAGGGCTCCAAAACGGACCCTTCCTTGTTCATTTACTCCCACAGGGGCACCATTTTGTTCATGCTAGTCTATGTTGATGACATTCTTTTGACAGGAAACAACCCGGAGGCTACTGACAAAGTGGTACAACGTCTTAGCCAATCTTTTGCTGTTCAGGATATGGGTCGCTTGTCTTATTTTCTCGGTATTGAAGTGACCAGTCAGGGTCATGATATGATTCTATCACAACGGAAATACATCCTTGAACTCTTGCAACGCATAGGCCTGTCTAATGCTAAACCGACTTCATCTCCTATGACCACTAATGCTAATCTTGCTCTTGGTGATAGTGTTACGTTTGCTGATCCGGTCAAGTACCGCCAAATTGTGGGTGCCCTTCAGTATGTGACATTGTCTCGTCCGGATATTACTTTCGCGGTCAACAAAGTCTGCCAATTTACGCAGTCCCCCACTGAAAATCATTGGACGGCAGTCAAACGAATTCTTCGTTACTTGCAAGGCACTGTTGACTATGGTTTACGAATCATGCATGATTCAGGCACAATCCTTCATGCCTACACTGATTCTGCTTACAACTCCCTACTGGCTTCTCCGATGCTGACTGGGCTGTTGCCCTGACGACCGTCGATCCACTGGGGGATATGCTATCTATCTTGGTTCAAACCTAGTATCATGGTCTGCACGAAAACAAAGGACTGTCTCTCGATCATCAACAAAGTCTGAATACAAAGCTCTAGCCGATACTGTTGCTGAGCTCACATGGCTTCAAACACTACTGCGCGAACTCCGAGTTCCTGTGAAGTCGGTTCCTACCTTATGGTGTGATAATCTTGGTGCTACGTATCTTTCAGCTAATCTTGTCTTTCATGCCCATACCAAGCATGTAGAAGTTGACTTTAACTTTGTTCGAGAAATGGTTGCGCAACGGAAGCTTTCAGTTCAGTTTATATCTACAGATGATCAGATTGCAGACATGTTTACCAAGCCGCTACCTTCAGAACGGTTTCTCCTATTACGGTCCTACAGGTCGCTCCCCGACCTTAGCTTGCGGGGGAATATTAGACAATTAAGTGGGATATATATATATATAATCATATTAGAGGGTCTAGAGTGCAAATGTATCTCTTATATATATCCCTGATTGTAATTGGTATACACACACACAATTACCAAGTTTATCTACAAGAAAAATAAAAAAATTCAGGAAGTGTTTATTTAACACCAAAAGCAAAGCATTGTCATAAAAGAACATGTACATCAGCACATATTGCCATTACTCGCTTTCAATCGCCATAAGTTGCAAAATAGAACTAACCCACAGGATTAGCAGCAATAAGTTGTTCTCCAATAGCCTTAATGGCCTGAATAAGAGCCCCAGCTTGGTTCGTGTGAGGAATCCTTTGCTGTGATATCACCGAACGGAGAAGCTCTGCTGTCAGCTTTGCAGTGGCCTTTGAGCCCTCAATTTTGCTGCCTCATCAAACAAACATACATGTATGTAATGGTAAGAGACAAGAAAAGGTTTAAGTTAGGAAAGACCATGAAAAAGAAAAAATAAACAAATAATTCCACACTGACCGTTTCTTGAGCTGGTTCAAGAAATCATTAACTAGGGCATGTGTGTCCGGCATGATTATTATAAATATCACACCTGAATAAGCATAAAACTCATCTTAATTCAGAAAAATTAGAGGAAGGATCAATAATTTTTATGTGAGATTGAATAACGAAATAAATCATGAGAAATTATGGAAGAATGCAGTAGAATGCGTGTAAGCAATGCATGTACAGTACCAAGCAACTTATTTGACAGATCGTGGATGATTGAGTGATGTATGAATAATATGCCTATATGCCTTAGAAGCTCTCTCCAGATCAAGTCCTCAATAAAAAATGACCGCTTGACAAGTATTCTGAATGGACCTGAATGACAAAAAAATACCACTTTTAACCCTATATATGATTTAGTGGAATGAAATATGACTGACAGATACGTATTTTCCATTGATAGAAATAACAATCTGTATATCTCATGGTTCTATACATCTTTCTAAGATTGTTCGCTTACAAGAAGCCAAGTAAATTGCAAAAAGTCAATAACCCAAAAGTTGACAACAATTGATGAATTATAAAATGAGCCATGGTATATGGGACTAGTGTACGCCTCTCACATGCCTTACCGCCTCACCCACCACTCACCTCTGCTTAAAACCATGGTTACATCGATCCCTATACTCGATACAAACACAAAATAATCCCTAACTGAAGTCAACAATCATCCCATGATGTCACATGTGAGGACCATCTCTTTCCACTGATCATATATCTTCTCTCATGGTTAACATTACACATGTAGAGAACCAATGCGTAAAAAGACATGTTCGTGATTTAGTAGATTTTAGGAAACATAGTTTTTTGAAGTTTGTTTACTATCCAAAGCATACATATAGAATAAAATAGGATGTAGAGGTTGGCAAAAAGCAAAGCCCATTTTGAGAACACTACTACAAACCAATGCACGCAAAGTTGTTCCCATCTTGATATTGTGTCCTTCAAAGCTGTTTTTAGCTATCTCTTTCTCAATCAGCAACTTGTTTCTGGAATTGGTAATCCAGTGTGCATCATGCAAGTAGCAATTCGCATAAGTCAACTAAACCAATGTGGTACATGAGTGAGCATTTCAAATTTGGTAAGAAGAGAGATCTAAGTACTAAAAGAGCCTAAAACTGATACAGCAACCTTATGGATAAAGCTTGTTCAACTGTTGGCAACCTCAAAAGCCTCACCACATCCCAACTCCTGTATCTGTTCCATGCACCGAATGAGTGATGCCCAATTAGCCCTAACAGATGTTACTACAGCTACACAATTGTCCATCAAGAATGTGAGAAGGGCCCAACATACTACTTGTATATTCCACCCAAAAGTTTTCTTTTAGTTCAAAACAATCAATCATTCAGTCACTATAACTCATTACCAAATTTGCCAATTTTCAGTAACACTAATGATTGACTTCAAAGTGTTTGTTGAAATGCCACCGAGTATTTAGTGTTAGAGAAAAGATATAAAATATCTTTTTTGGTTGCTAAAGCTTTAGGATTGGTGATATTACCTAGGACCAAAAAAGAAAATTTAGTTCAGGTTATAAAACTTTTCCTCAGTTTGTGACTTTGTGTAGCTTCGCAAGCTAGTACCATAATCAAAGATTCTTGCAAGCTTGAGTGAAGTTCCCTTATTAATGCTCATCTCGAGTCAATGTGACTTCAGAATTTATAATATCCACCCTAAATTAGCGCACATGAAAGAAAAAAAAAATGTTAAGTGATGCTTGCTCTCAGTTGATTTGAAGTATTTCCATAATATTTTTGATGTTTAATAGTCCAGCCAACAGATTCGTATTTTTATTTAACTTAATAATATTAGTAAAATTACCAGTTAACAAGGATATTTTATACAAAATTTTGCACTTCGGATGAAAATGTTTAGGGCTCTGTTTAGAGGTCTATTTAGGGGAAGATGCACAGCAACAAGAAAAACAGCAAGAAACAAAATGCAGAGAACACATAAAGATGTCAAATTTCCTTGTTATATCAACACCAATTTCATCTTCCATCAAGACCCAAATAGAATAAATTAATTAAACAACTTTAAGTGCATAGCAAACCAGAATATGCAAATCGATAGCAGAAGAAAAGAGAACAGTCACAATCACTTTCGAGAAGATGCAAACAACAAATAAGCATCGAGAGTCACAGTCAAGAAACCTTTGTTGCAGATCGATAGTCGAGAAATAGACACAATCACGAGATCGAGAACGCCAATGGGAGCATATAATTAGGGCACAGTCGCATAAAAATCGAGAAGAGAGCACGGAATTAGGGCATAAAATCAAAGATTTGTTTTTTAAAAATCAAATAGCAGTTTTCATTCGGCGTGTACCTGGGGTTGATCACGGTTTACCACATTTTTACAAGTAAACCGGTTTGAAAGTGGTAAATGCATAAAATAATAATTAATTTTTATAAATTTTATGATTTCAGTTTTTTTATTATAACAATGTATTTTTAAAATATTTTTATTAAAACATTGCATTTTAAAAAATTATCTATTATATCAGGTTTTCATGCCACCTCATTATCTATGTAGACTGTCCACATCTATTATAGTGATGTGACTTTCATATTACAACATTGTACTTTCAAAATTATTTTTATTATAACATCTACTAGTTCTTATTAAACAATGTACTTTTAATTTTAATATTTAAATATTTAACATGTTATTTAATAAATATATTAAATAAATTAAAAAAAATTCTAAATTATTAATTAATATACCAATATTAATAAAACTAGTAGAAGACAACTTATCTCGCTAATATTTTTTTTTAAATATGTGTTTTTTGAAAAAAGAAAATAAGAAATTTTCATTTTTTACCAAAAACAAATATTGTCTTTTAAAGAATATATTATATCTGTCAAAAACTTTTATTTGACGTATACATATATTAAATTAATTAGATTTTTTTTAACAACATAAAATAAGAAGCGTTACTTTTTTTACAAACAAAATATATCTCAAAAATAATGTAGCATATTTATTTAAGAAATATTTTACTCTAAAATATTTAATTTGCATACAACTTAATAAGAAAAAGTCAAAAAATTAAGTGTTTTTTTAAATCATATCAATGAAAAATGAAAATCATTAATAATAATTTGAAATAGATTTTTATTTTTATTTTAGTTAAGTCATCAAAATGATATGTCATCTACGTTACCTCATTAAAGCCACACAAATAAAAAAAAGTCAAAGGGTTAACCAGTTTAAAAGATAACAGGTTGCCTATTTGCTATAATGAGTATATTATTTAAAATACGATGTTTTAATAAAAAATAATTTGAAAGTACATTGTTGTAATAAAGAAAAACAAAAGTAGAATACTATAATAAGAAAAATTATGAAAGTAGGTTGTTATTTCATGCATTTAACCCTAGATAATTGTGTAAATCTGTCTGTGAGAGCTGTGCTGCGTTTATGGCTGCATGCATAAGTTTATCTATAGAAGCTGTCTGTTTCTCTTCATCAGAAGAAATACTCATTGATGATGAGCTTTTCTTTGGCTGTATAGGCTGTATAACCTTTCGTTTTCCTTTGTCTCGTTTATCCATCTGCAGAAATTAACATGTATGTCTATTTATATATCTGGTATATACCTTTTTCCAGTGGTTTCTAATTCTAATCTCTTCATCTATTTCGTTTAATTCTTGTTTCTCTTTTTCAAAAGATTTTATTTGATCATCCGTCAGATTCTGATTTGTTTCTAAATTATTAATATTAATTTTTAGTTGTTCGTGYTTTTCCCAATTTATATGTAGTTGTTTCCAGTTTTGTTTTAAGAATTTTGTATTATATGTTATTTCGTCGTTACAATTTACTTGTATTTTATTACTCATTTTAACAAATAATTAATTTTGATTTTTCTTCTTTAAGTGCGGTAAACATTAATTCAATAAATTTTTCATTATTATAAATTTTTATCATTATGTTGTTTAACATAAATATTTCTATAGATGGGTTTAATTCTTTAGATTTTAAATTAATAATTCTACTTTGTAGGTATATCTTTTCTTCTGTAAGTTTGTTCTTTTACTGTAGCATTAACTTTTTTACTGTAGCATTAACTTTTTTACTGTAGCATTACTGTAGCAGTTTGGAAGGTAGAAATTCTAAAAGTAATGCACAAGATATTATAATTTCAGACAGTTTTATAAATAGAATTATGAGACGAGGATCAGGTAGTAATAGTTCACAACAAGCTATACATCTTGGGGAAGAAATAGATTTAGACAGAAACATAGACTTATACAATCAACATCAACTAGATATTCTAAACCCAAGAATATTATATCAAACAGGAGTTTTAAACATAAATACAGTATTAATTCGTAGTAGTAGAGAAGAAAGCCTATGCTTATTACTAAATTATCTCCTTCATAATTATCATATCCTTTTGTTTGTAGTGCTATTTTTATTTTTTGTAAATCATTTATGTTTTTTAAAATTCCAGGTGTGCAATAAAATAGTGCTGTATTTTGACTAAGATCAACTTCCATTCCAGAAATTATTGCTTTTTTAATATTTGTTTTCCAGCTTTTATCTAATAATAAAGCTAATAATTTTGTTCCAAGGTTTTTTCTTCCTAAAGCTTTAACTCCTATAACTACTAGTCCTATGTGTGCAAAATGTTTTCCTGTTTGTTTAATTTTTTGTATTGTTTCTGRCGAAAATAATTCTACAGTTACTGTTTTGTCTAGAATTCTTAGGCTTTCTTCTCTACTACTACGAATTAATACTGTATTTATGTTTAAAA